CTATTATTCAGTTTTATAAAGGCTGCACTATATAACTTTATATGAAAATCTGCAATGGTGGATCCAGGAAAATAGAGGGGAATAGAGGAGGCCCACAGAGGGACTTTCACAGATAGGCCTGACAACCTCAGCCCAATGATAGTTGGCATCTCTAGATGCACTCTCAGACTTAAATTTGATTGCAATTTTTTTTATTTTTTTTTCAAATTTTAAACATTTAGGGGGAGGGGGGCTGGGGGGCTGGCTGGCTGGTTCTCCCCCCCCCCCCACTCCATCTCTTGAATCTGCCTATTATATGTGATTGGCCCATACATTACAGTTGTGATGCAATATGACGACATCATACCTATATATGGGCAAATCACAGATTTTAAGAAGTACATCATGATATTTATATTTTGTCATGTGATATTTTGTGTATATTTTTACAAAAACCTTCAAATTAGGCCGATATTGACCTTGCTGTAAAAGCGGCAAGAGAAGCCTTCAAGCTTGGGTCTCCATGGCGACGACTTGACGTCAGCAAGCGAGCGGAACTCATGACCAGACTTGCTGATCTCTTGAAACAAAACAAGGACTATCTTGCAGTGAGCACATTATAGCTTATTTATGGTTAATAGCTTGTTATAGCACACTCGACAACCAACCAGGTTTTGTTTGAGCAAAATAAGAGATTGGTAAATGATAAAATTGATCATGTTGCTAATAGTACTTACAGTATGATAATAAAATACATAATAAAAATTACTATAATGAAAAATAAGAGAGTAATATATATTTTAATGTTAAATCAATATTTTAAAAACCATGAGACATAAACGACAACCTTCAAAAGAATTTATACATAAGAGCTATGATCTCTCACTGGCTAAAACCAGGGACCCAAATCCTTAGGGGGCCCAGGATATTCATAATTTTTTTGCCCCCATTTTGGTTGTTTTTTAGAGACCCTTTTAAAGACCAAAACTGTAAAAACCAATCAAAATACGACATCTAAAACGCTGAAGCTGGTTGTCTTTTATTCCTGTATCCTACATGGGCTCTTTGTGGCCCTTCCTCCAGGTAGGCTCTGAAGAAGCCAGCCAGACCTGGTCCTCAAGGCTTTTTGTTTAGCCACTGTTAATATTTTAAATACCATTCCTGACAATCAACAAAAGTTTAAAATATTGGATCACAATGGCTAAAGTATCACTTTATTCAGAGTTAGTTCCATACTGTTGTAAATCTTTATTCTGTATATTATATACATTCATGTGGTTGTTTGCATTTTTTTTTTTAATTTATCTTGAGTACAGGCTTTGGAAACTCTGGACAATGGTATGCCATACTTTGAATCTGAGATGTGGGTAGACTCCATTGTCAGTGTTCTAACCTACTATGCTGGGTGGTGTGACAAGGTTCATGGCAAAACTATTCCTTTAGGTATAGATGGCTTTTAATATACTTACCCCATGTTGTATAATTTTTGATATGATGATGATATGGATATCATTAACGATGTTGCAGATGTTAGTGATGATTTGAGAGTGATGATTTGAGAATGATGATTTGAGAGTGATGATCTGAGAATGATAATTTTAGAAATTTAAGGGGTGTTAGACATGGTGATGCTGCTGGTTATGTAAGTGATGATGTTCGCGATGGCAATGAAGTTGGTGATGGCAGTGATATGAGTAATGGCTGATGGTGTTCAGAGGAAGATTACATGCCTCCCCCCCCCACCCCTTTTGGAAAGTAAAAAAGGAACGAAACGCTTCAGAGGTTATTTCCATGCGTCTAGAAAACAACATTTCCCGGACCCCCCTCCCCCAAGGTAATGTTGTCTCGCAATGGTCCCCACTCCTTTCCAGACATCTCTGGATCTGACTGATATTTGTGATGTCAGTAATGATGTTGGCAGTGATTATGTCGGTGAGGATGATGTTGGTGATGGATGATATTGGTGATGATAATGATGTTGAAATAGTCTTCCTGTTTGCTCAATCTTCCTTGTCTTTTACAAAAATGTGTAGCAAGTTACTAACATTAGAATTTCACTAATATCAGATGGAGATTACTTTTGCTACACGAAACTTGAGCCGGTTGGTGTGTGTGGAGCCATCATTCCCTGGAATTATCCAATTGATATGCTTGGATGGAAGCTAGGCCCGGCAATAGCTTGTGGTAACACGATAGTAGTCAAACCTGCTGAGCAGACACCCCTGACTGCTTTGTTCATTGCATCACTCATCAAAGAGGTATAGGGTTTTTTTTTTATTTGAGTAAAAGTTAGATATAATGGTTGTGCTGTTGTGAAGTTAATACGAAAGTATAATACATATTCCAAGTATTGAAATACATGCCATCGTGTTGGAATTGAATATTTCAACATTAATTATGTCATCATAAGGAAATTTTTCCTAATGATGACATAATTAATGTCAAAATATTGAATCTCAACATGATGGCGTGCATTTCAATACTTGGAGTATGTATTATAATTTTTTACTTGAGATAATTGGTGGACCTTTTTGTTGTTGAAGTTCAGTTTCTGTTGTTGAAATTGTCAGCGTTATATTAATAAAGTTATGAATTATAAATTATTTACATATTCATATATAAAATGAAATCTTAAAAATAATCAATACAAGCTCAGTTTGTCTGTTTTAAGTAAAGTAAAAACTTGTTTACTTTGCATCACACAGTCTTGCTTTCTTTAATATATTTCTAAATAATATCCTGTTTAAATAAGAATATGATAAAAAATTTAAGTTTTAAATTCACTGAATGTACAAAAATATAAAAAAAATTGACCACTTTTTTGCAATAATGCCTTTTAAAATCTTCCTAAATATTTCTTTATGCTATTTTGTAATTGCCTATTTTCACTTGCTCTTATTTAGGCGGGCTTTCCACCTGGTGTCATCAACATCATCCCAGGTTATGGTCCAACGGCTGGCGCTGGCATTAGTGAACACATGGATATTGATAAGGTTGCATTCACTGGTTCAACCGAGGTAGGCTCAAAAACATGTTATGCCCAGTCTTTAGTTGCTTGAGAACAACATATTTGAGGCCTGTCATCCCAAAATCAGCATACAGTCACTAAATGTTAAACTGATCATAATTGTAGCAGTATTGTATACTTTAGTATCAGTAAAACGTATAAACATTATGTACTGTAGCATTTTTAGAAGGATTTTTACAGTTACTCCTCAATATATATAATATTCTGTAGCAGGTAACACAATTTAATGTTAAACTTTTTTTAATATGTTTTTATTTGATGAATGCAGTACATAATTAAAAGGTACAATACATTTCAAAAGGATGGTAAACATTTTTATCAAAGTACCTTGTAAGATAGACTAGACTTCTAGATTACAAATTATTAAAACTAAGCAATGTTATTGATACAACTAGGTATCAATTTCCAATAATGGCATAAAAACCTAAGTATTTGTATTTTCTATTTATTTATAAAACGTTTTTTTTTTATATATATTATTTCTAAAATAGTCAATTAAAAAATTTCTGAATCTGAATGTGCAGCAAGCTGTAAATGGCGCAAATACATTTCATGGTAAAAAATAATAAAATAAAGAAAAAAAATCACCTGATAAAATTATTTCAGTCTTATTTTGTTGAACTTATGCATTTACATATTTTGATGGTGTTTGTATTATCCCTATTCATATTTACATAGGTCGGCCATCTCATCCAGCAAGCAGCAGGCAAGAGCAACCTGAAGCGAGTGTCACTTGAAATGGGTGGTAAAAGTCCTAATATTGTGTTCGCTGATAGTAATGGTAAGCTTTTAATGATGGATGATGATAACAGACAGAGGCGGATTCGTTGGGGGGGGGGGGTATGTATGCTATAGGCACTGCCCCGCTTGTATCCAAGTAAGGAAAGAAAGAAAGAAATAGAAAAAAATGGACACCCAAAACGCCTCAGAAGTAATTTTATGGGCGTCTAGAACCCAACAATTTTGAAGGGTCATGCGCCCGGTCCCCTTAGGGTAGTATTATCTCGATCAGTCCCACTTTTGAACCCCTTTCAGGGCTCCCCCTTTCATACATATCTGGATCCGCCCCTGGATAATGATTGATGTTTATAATGGTGATGATAATCGTAGTCACATCATGATATGATGAATGATCATGAGGATTACGATGATCATTATGTGATTGAGTTCACTCTTTGCAATCCTTGGCCCAATCAATATATTGCATATTGATCAGCTTTAAATTTATGACTAAAAAAATAAGATGTGTGATTGTGAGCATTCATGCACGTCTCGGAAGTGGGAAAATGCTCACCTAATTTGGTATTTTTTATGATAGTCGACTTTGCGGTGGACGAGGCCCACGAGGCAATCTTTGGTAACGTAGGACAGTGTTGCTCAGCTGGCTCCCGTACTTTTGTCCAAGAGGGAATCTACGATGAGTTCGTCAAGAAAAGTGTGGAGAAAGCAAAGGCAAGAGTCATTGGAGATCCGTACATTGATGGCACGCAATCAGGTCCACAGGTAATTCATATTCAACTTGATAACATTTACTATATATATTTTCCATCATTTGAATACATTGCATAAGTTTAAGGAATACATTGCATAACTTTAAGGGATACACTGCATACGTTTAAGGGATACATTGCATACGTTTAAGGGATACACTGCATAAGTTTAAGGAATACACTGCATAAGTTTAAGGGATACACTGCATACATTTAAGGGATACATTGCATAAGTTTAAGGAATACATTGCATAACTTTAAGGGATACACTGCATAAGTTTAAGGGATACACTGCATACGTTTAAGGGATACATTGCATACGTTTAAGGGATACACTGCATAAGTTTAAGGGATACACTGCATACGTTTAAGGGATACACTGCATAAGTTTAAGGAATACACTGCATAAGTTTAAGGGATACACTGCATACGTTTAAGGGAT